TGTATTCATGAATACAGAAACGCCAATCACCTTAAAAATAGGTCTGTCCAGCTGTCTAGTAACGGAAATAGGATCAATTAGCGTGGTACACTCCTAATATAACACAACAAAATCAATTATAACACGCCTCATTATCAACCTAATTAATTAAAATGATTTTTGAGTTGTATATAACTGTTGTATTTAACTGTTGTATTTAGTGTGTTTTAATTTATTTTTTAATGTTGCATTCATTAGATTCAATGTTTGTATTTACTGTATTCACTATTTTGTATTCAATGTATTCAAATGTGTTTGTATTAACAGTATTTTAGTTATTCTTGATACATGTTATTACTGTTCTATTCAATATATTTCATTGGTTGTATTCACTGTATTTCTATTTCTATTCAGTGTATTTACTGTATTTCACTGTATTTTAAAATTAAATGTATTCACTGTCTATATTTTGTTCTATTTCAATGTTTGTGTTCAATGTTTATATCCTGTATTCATGCATACTGTATGTACAATATGCATAAATACAGGTGTATTCAGCTGTATTAAAAAAATACAGACCTTCGAAATACATAAATACATGCAAAAAAATTTATTTTATACAAAAGTACAATGTGTTTGAGTGAATTTGTATAGAATACAATATATTTGTATCACTATACGTGACAAAATAGCAAAGAAGAGAAAAAAGTTCGTCGGAGATTGCGTTATCCGGCCAAGCGAAATACTGTGTACATTGTATGTTAAAACTAAAAATGGAGACGAACAAAAACTCCTGCCCTCAAATCTTCTCCGACGTAAAAAATATTACAGTATTCGTTACAGTACTCATTCTCTACTCAGATTATTCCAACATTATTTTTGCTCCCGCGCAGTGGCTTTGCCTCAAAGCACGAGCCTCTCCTTGCTACGGAGAAATCTGATTTTGAGGAATCTGATTTTGAAGCAGTGGGCCTGGCTATTTATGTTGTTTTCCCTATTTTTTTGTTTGTTTGTTTCGAACATTTTGAAACTACATGAGGCTAAATACTTGCTTTCGGAAAATCTGAAAATTTTATTTTGAAA